CCAAAGACTTTTCACAAAACTTCAGTTTGGCAGATTTCATTAGAAATGTCTTCAATGTAGCACTTCTGATTCCAGTAGAATTACACCAGGGATCATTATTTATCACTTTTCATGGCACACAAGAGCGTCATAACCCTGAGTAGGCCACATCCAGCAGTGTTTCTCAAGAGCAGGCACATTTCACTGGAGAGGCTGGCTCTCTTGGGAGAACTTTTGACCTTCATTTCTCCTCAGGATTATCAGCTTCCTTGAAAATTACTCAGCAGCCACAGGAATGCTCCACTTCAGCAAGCACTGCTCTCAAGGAGTGATAGTAATGATTGCTTCTCTAACCACGTGTACATACAAAAAACCCCAAAACTCAACCAAACCCTGCTTAAAGAAACTACCTCAAAAAGTAGCAGCACAGCAACAACTGACTTTTATACTGCCATGGAGTCAAATGGCAAGTCCGGCAAATGAGTCTTAACCTGTGCCACAGGTTAAGACACTGCCACACCACATGTGGGACTGGAAATGTGTTATTGTCTATGTGCAATATTTATGGAAGTAGGTCTGAAGTCAGCAAGAATGATGGTTAGAATTAATCACCTTTCACAAGCAGGGAGTCTAGGGTGTCATGTAATGGGCATAATGGTATATAAAAATGCTGCTAAAAATACTCACTTGTTATAATAGAATGTGTCCCCCAGTACTTAAACTTTTGATGCAGTATTAAAATAAAACACAGCGTTGGAAGTAAAAATTTTCTTTGCAATGCAGTATTAATTCTGCTATGTGCTTTTGAGGGGCTATGTATTGTTTCCTTCCCAGCACTAATGTAAACAACTTAAAGCCCTTGGGCTTTACTGTCCTGAGGCATGAAACTGGAATAAATAGAATAAAAGGGAGCTGTGTAACAGATTTATGGCCATCACACTCTCTACTGCATTCAAACATTTGGCATGATTTCTTCCTGTCCTATCCAACATCTGTTTACTTATTTCTGTCGTCACCATGATTTGTTCACAGAACCATAACCTGCCTTTTTGCATGGTGCAGAACTCACTTTGCTTTCCCTGCCCTTCAACAAAATAAATACGGAGCCACAGATATCTCTGTAGTCTCATGTGCAAGGAAACCATATCACCTGAGAGCAGTGGTGACTTAAAGCATCGCAAGCCGGTGCCCCTTCCGCTTCAGCAACAGAGAGCCTTTTTAATGACAAGATCTAATTTCTGCTGAAGGATTTAGCCCTGAAGAAAACGTACTCTGGCAGTAAATGAAGGCATACTTATACCAAAATGTACTTAGCATAGCTGCTATTGTACCAGTGAAGTGGTGCCTTCTGAAAGTACAGCATATTCACATTCCAGTATTGGAATGACCTGTAGAGATACATGTATTTTTACAATACTCTATCTGGCCACTCTTGGAGCCCTCTGTCATTCTGACAATGTCTAATCATACAGCACAACTCTGGAGCATAAAGAAGCTTTGAGATGCTGCAGAGAGTTAAAGCTTATAACAGACAATGAGGGAGGAGCAATGCTGAAATACTAGCTCGTGGCCATTTTATTTGCAGAATGTAGCAAATACACAGCATTGTTAAGCAGGAGTAACTCATACAGCTAGTTATTTTGGGGCTAGCAAGCATTCTACTTTTAGCAGGTTTGAGAAACACCTATTCTTCCTGGGGTAAGATTTTGCAAGATTTTGTCAGGAAGCATAACCCAGATTTCATAGCTGTGGAGGACAGATGGCAGTGAAGGGTCTTTGTTTCCAAGCCACATCTGGCACAGGTTTGCATCTGGCTGGACTGCCTTGATGCTGGCTGCCTCAGCTGGACTGTCTCCTACCCAGGAGCTGTGACCAAGCGCCCAGCGCAGATCTACCACGACCTCCCTATGGCACCCTACCCACCTTTAGTCTTACCACGTGTGCCAAAGCCTTCCTCCTGTTTCTGATGCAAATGCTCTGGGAAAGCTTGGCTCAAAGCAGATGAGAGATTTATTGCACCCCCACACTGCCCCAGCACTATGCCAGTCATCTGGCAGGGGAGCAAAGGTTTTCCGGACAGCAAAATGTTTGCATGCGGTCCCCCAATATGTGCCTGCCCATTTGTGTATTGTATTTGCAGTGGGTGTATAAATATACATAACTGTAACAGATTGGCAAATAGATCCACCAAATTTTAAGAAATGCTTTTTATAAATGTTTCCATTTCTCAGACTCCTCCTGTCTGGATTCCTCAGTCTACTATTTAATGAATGCCTTAATTTTCATCTTAAAAAGGAGAGACAGAAACTTCAAAGCTACCAGCTTTCCTGTTTTAGATAAAATATGCTGACATTTCACCCAAGAGGGAGGATTTTTAGTAGATCATAGCATTCTTGTCTCTAAATACAACTTCTAAAAAATCCCATTGATGCTTTCCAGTTTCAACTTCATGCTATTAATAGGCCAATAAGGAGGTTTCTGGGAGAAGGAAATCATGTGATTTTGTAGCTTAAATATTTCACATAAACAAAGAACAGAATAAAAGCTGCATAACATACCTTATTTTTGGAGTGCAGCAGTTATACTGAAGGGACTGTCTTCTCTCTGTCTGGGCATCAGCATACAGATTCTATAAAAGCACACAGCAAAAAGCCAGGATTTTATCTGTCCTCTGTAGCAAATGAGAAGTGACTGTCGACTGAATGTGTTCAGTGCTGTCCAAGCAGCACTTTGGCAAAAGCTTTATTAGGACTGTTGAAGCCATATTTAACACAGGTTTAAAACAGAGAATGCTGCCTTCATCTTTAGCTTTTGGTCTTTAGAAACTTTGCGGGGGGGAGGGTGACTCCAGCTTGGTATCACTCATGATTTCAGATTCAGGGCCACGGCTGAGGATGACACATGTAGCAACATAGTTCCACATTCAACGGGCCACCTTTTTTTTTAAAGAAAAGACAGCAATTTTCTAAAAAGCAATCAGCTTTCACAGCTCTTCTCACCGGATCTAGACCAGCAGATACCTACCGGGTTGTGCTACTGAAACCTCTTAAATGACAAAGCACAGGTTGTTTAATGCTTAGCACCTCAGGACCTGTAAACCCATCTCTGACTATCACACTTTGTTTCTTGGTCATGTGATGACTTGTGAGTCCCCTGCAGAGGGGACGTGTCTACAGCACATTGGGCTGGAATGAGCTGATGAAACTTCTGGGTTTCATCTCTCTGACTCCAGTAATCAGATGGTTTGAACAGGAAAAGCAAAGGTCCCGCAGAGAAATATCACTACCAGCCCACAAAGTGGGGCAGGAACCACTACTAGATGGTAGTGTCTGCAAAGGGAGCAGTAAACTGCAGAAACTGTGCACAGAGATAGCCATCCCCAATGTTCCATGACTTAACATCTTGGAGGACATGAACAAAACTGAGTTCAGCTGAGTAAACTACATGTCTAGCATCAGTGGGTCTCACTGTTGAACATGACTGCATTGTATAAGAGTACAAGGCCATTTCTATCATGCAGAAGTTCCTAATTCGCATAGAAATGACTTAAAATCCACCTGGAATTCCTCTGGCGCACAGCACAGTTAAAGTTAGCAAAAGGTGGAGTCATTTATAGTCTGATTTGCTTGTGTGTTTTGTTTCGCTTTCTGTCTGCTGCCTCATTAAAGTCTAATTGCCTGATGTCAAATAGGCCATGGAGTGACAAGAACAGATTTTGCATAGATACTATGCCTGTATATACGCTCAAAAACTAACAAGTAAGACTTGCCTGTCATGTCAAAAATCTTTCTATTTTGGGCTGGGTTTGAAGGCTGCTTTTGGCAATGAATGTTTTTCCCTTATACATAGTTTGCTCAAGTCAGGTTCCATTCCAGCGATGAACATGGCATTAAAAAGACTGGTACTGCACATTTAGGCAGCCTCTGAAATCCAGTTTCTTTGAACTGATGGTTTCCTTATTAGATCTTTTTTTTCCTGGAGAGGATACATGCTTTCACAGGTGGCATCTTGAACTAGCATTTCTGAGTGCTTTGGAAATTCAAAACCAAGGTGCCACTTTTCTGGTCTGTGCAAGGGGCTATTTTGATCAGTCCCTTGGCTGACTGTTTTTTTTTTGCACCAGCTCCATTTTTTCCTTGACAAGGGACAGAGTCCTGTGTGGCTTTGGGCTCCTGATCTTCCTTTTGATGGGTGCTTGTCCTGTCTGCCAACTGATCTGCCACATCCCTGCAGCAGGATTTGGGCCAAACAAGACAAACAGGCTGATGTGCTATTAAAAGGTTTGCTTCCAATCAGTGTATCTCCACTGCAGATGGATTAGGCAGTGATCAGGTGAGGTTATAGACATGTTTTTGGTGTAGAAAGCATAGCAAAATTCACAGGAATGATTATATTGTGTAGGCTATTGCTGCGTTCTGTGACAGTGTTGCTGTACCCTGGGATACTCATAGTTTCTGGAAGGGTTTTGTTCATTAGTTTCAATTTGTGTCTGGCTAGGAGGTGATGGGTATGGTTTTGTGAATGCATATTTGTGTCTGTCTGTCTGTCTGCCTGTAAATATATGGCGACACATCTGTGGTATAAATCAAAAATAACATCTTTGATTAATTTAATACCAGACTGATTTTATCCTTAATGAAGCACACTACATTTAGAGCACACTGCTCTTTTGTTTTTGAAGCTGTACTCTTTCCAGCACATGCCTTATCATGCACAAGAGATCCACGCTTTTGTTCAGAGATTTCAGTTCCTACAGGACTGGCTTATTTTTGTGGTTTAAACTATTGTTTTTAGTAGGAACTACAAATAACTTCATATTGAGACATTGATGGTAAATAAAATGTATACTGTAAAACATCTGGATAAACAGCTGATAGATCGACTGAAACTGACTGTCTAAAGCAGCGATCAGAAATCCAGTGGGGACAAGCTAATATTCAGAACCAGAGGCCACTCCTTCTCAATTTTCAGATGGTTTTTGTTCAGCCTGTTCCTAAGATTCTGGGGTTTTTACCTTACAGTCAAAAGCTCTTCGGGAAAAATGGCTGCTACAGGGAATTCCTGCTGGCTCTGCAGAAGAGGAAGAAGCCAGAAGGAGGCAGTCAGAAGAGGATGAGCTGAAGGTGAAAAAGCTGGAAGAAAACATATACAGGTAGGGACGATTTTCCTTTGCTTTATGTCAGAGTGGTCATTTCCATTAATGTTAGAGACCTGCCTCATCCAGGTCCCCATCTCTGGCAGTAGCAGACAGCAGTTGCCCATGGGAAAGTGTAAGGAGGTAGGCACACATACAGCCAAATGTGCCCAGGATTTGTTTCAATTGTCCACTAAGTGCAAGGTAGAGCCTTCATGGTATCTTTGGGTTTAATGGACTTCTATGTATTTCTCTCACAAGGGAGCTAAAAGAGGGCAGAGTTCCCTCTTCAGATGCACATGTATGATTTGATCAGCACTAGAGAGATTCTCCATTGCTTTACACCTCCTACAGCCAAACAGAGTTCAAACAGGGGCGTCACTCTTTGGCACTTCTCACTGGTTCAAATGAATGTCTGAAATGTAAGAGCAGATGCCACCGGCAGATCAAATATCTACTCTTTTATGAAGAAATGTTTGGGCATTAGAATTGTTTCCCATTGCAGTCTAGTTGATATTCATCTTTTTTCAAGTGTTTTCCTTTGTTTTCCTACAAAAAATGGTCTGTAAATGAAAAGCATTTTTCCTTTATTTTCATAAGGAAAATGCTTTTATCCACCACAGGACAAATTCCAGGACTGTTTCTTCTGCCATTTAGGGCTATATGAGTTTCCTTTTTTTTCAGCTGGCAGAAAATTGGTAAAAATTGGTCCAGTTTGGTACCCCAGCTTTTATAAATGTGTCTGCTGAGGCTTATAAGTGACTGGGAAAAGCAGATAGGACCAATAGTCCAAGGATTGAGGTGTTAGCCTAGTATATGGTGAACTTAATTTGCCTTAGGGCAGGTTTCTTGTGAAATTTCTTAGATAATTCACCAAGATTGCTTATTTGGGGATGCACAGAATCAGACCTACTCTAAGCTTGGATGACACTATGGCTTCTATGTAAAAGTAATAGATCAGCATAGATAATAGATTAGAATGTAAGAGTTGCCTCATGCCACTGTTCTTTCTCTGCTTTGTGATTTCTATCAATTAAAACCACTCTGAGCATGTATGTTGTTTGATTACATCTGTTGTAACATAAAGCAAGAAAGTGAAGATTTATTTTTTAGATTTCATATGCTACCTGATCTTTTACTCCATAAATTAATGTAGTAGATAGAACAAAATATGGACTGAACCTCAGAAATATGTTCTATAGTACATAATGGACCTAGTGCTGAATGCTGCGGTGTGCTAAGTACTCTGACCCCAACCAGCAAAACACATCAGCATGTGTCTAATTTCAGCTATGTGAGTACCACCATTGAAGACAACAAAATCTGCTTTGTTTAATTAGTCCAAAGTGTAGGATGAAAGTCTGTGTAAAACCTTTACTGTGTGGTTTGTTTGGGGTTTTTTTTATTCCTTAACCAGAGCCTTGAAATAAAATCTCTGAATATTTGGAAGTAATGGAGCTTTCTTCAGCTGTGACCACTTATCTGTCAGATGACAGGTCAGCTGCTTGCTCCTGAGTTGAAAACAGGTTTGACAACCTCATTAGCATGCTTGACTTCCCTGTTACCTTTCTAAGGGAACTCCAAAGACAGTAAAAAAAAAAGCAGTTTTATTTAAATGAGAAAATATTACACCTGAACTATAGACATAAGACAGTAGGTGTCAAGGTCATTAATCTAATTACAATTTACATCCATGACAAAATGACACATCCAGAGCCCATCAAGATAGATAAAGGGCTGTAGAATGAGTAAGAAGAGAGAAGATGTCAGTCACATCATCTAGAGGAGTGAAGTAGGATGGAGTCACCCTGAAGAGATTTTTTTTTTGGTGCCTGTGCACTGTGTTTCCAGTATGGAATTCCAGGAAAGAATCAGAGGGGAGGACTGCAGGGGGACTACTCATATATTCATATTTGCAAGGGCCCAATTGTCCTTTGGAACTACACACTGTCCAATGGGACCACTATGAAACAGCCCAACCCTTCTCAATGACAGCAACAGAGGACAGACTAAGTTGACTCACTAGGAGGATAAAAAACTACTGCAAGACCAGAAATAAGAGTTGATGCCGGGGAACTTTATGACCATGGATCTTGCATATTCATTAGTCACACTGCATCATGTATGCAAGCATAGAGTGGCTGCAGCATCAAAACATCTGTGAAAAAGTCTGTGACACACATGATGGGTTTGTCCCTACTGGAAAATACACAAAGTCTTCTACATTTGCTCTGGGAACAGGGCGAAGCTTACCCATGAAGGCCAATGTCTAACCTCTGCTGTCAGCAGGCACCTGTACCCCTGCTTTTAACAATGGAGAGTATGCATTCATCCAGTTGCAGAATATGCAGCTCTTTTCCCTTCCTCTTCCATTGTCATCCAGAAGGCACCCTTTCTGCTTACACTGAAGTACTCAGGAAGGTTGTTTTCTCATACATCTGCATTTACTACATGAACAGCCATGGCACAAGAGAAGTACCCATCTGTATTTGCACGCCAGATGTAAACAGTAGGTCTGACAAGCTGAGCAGACTGTGACATTTAGAACAGGAAACTGAAAGAGGTAGTGTTTGAGACCAGCCTAACATTCATGTGGGCTCAAATAGGTCTGTGCTGTCCAAAGGAGGCAAATATCTCTACCTTAAAGAAAGGTAGAGACCTGAATCTCTACAAACAGAAGACTGTTTGTAGATGGTCTTAGAAGCTTTGCATAATGCTTTGAGCAATGCTTTTCCTTATTCAGTTTTAAGTGAATTTACCACTAAAATCGGATGTTTTGCCAGATGTACACATGCTTGTAGTGTTGATTTTAAGGCAATGTAACTAGTTGTCCTTTATGTGGGAGGTGTTTAATTTCAACTGGGGCAACAAAAATGCATGAGTGTACAGACTGCTGTTTATTTATTAGACTTCCATGTTATCATGATATAAGAAATCGCATACTGCAGCACATAGCTTGCAAGGATATGTGCATAAGAGTAAACTTTGACATGAGTAAGTGTAATGATTTAATGAGCTCCCTCATCTACAAATGCATTTGGAAGAAGGATTCCTACGTTAGTCAGCATTTCTGTACATCTCATGCCAAGCAAATGAAAAAATACCTGCATCACAAACACAGAAAAAAAAGGCAACCAAAGAATGAGATACAAATCATTAAATACTATTATTATGCTGATAATTACCAACAGGAGGACACAGAAGCACAAGATTCACATGCAAGTTAAAAAAGCTCGCATGGAGTTCAAGATTAAGGCAAGTTGCAGGCATATGAACAGTGTAAGAGTGGATTACAGACAGAATGATTGTTTGATAGTTGGGCTTAGTTTAGTCTGTTTAGAGAATCTGAAATGTACGAAAACTGGAAATGGTCTTTCTACCCAAGAATTCAGAGTGGAAATGGGAGAATAAGCAACGTTGAAGCAAGTTTGGTCCTGGACTCCCGGCAATTGTGCTTGCTTGGGTCTTCAAAATAAGAAATGTAAATAATTTCTGGTACTAGGGCTGTGTCTTTCACTTCTTTAAAAAAGAAAGTCTGGTGGACTTAATAAGATTGGTCCCCTTATTTAACATTCATTGAGTCCTGAGGGGGCTGGAAATCTGTCAGTTGTGGGAAAGATGGAAAGACATTGCTGCAATATTTGAAAGCCCACTGCAAGATTGGTGGTAGTGTTGCATCAATGGCAGAGCAAAGCCAGACATGGATTTAGGGTGTTTCTTAGCACAAGCTCCTTACACAGAGAGAAGCTTTAAATCTAGTTGAGAGTTTGTCATCTCCTAAAGGTCAGTGTTAAGGAAAGCAGCCATTTCTAAGTCTCTTTTCCATTGCCACACAGTGAAAAAGTGATCTCCTGATTCCTGCAGCTAACATAGATTTGAGGTAAATTATGTCATAAAATGAACAAAAAGTATTTTCCTTAAACTTACTCTCCAAATCACCGAAACACAGCTTGTTTGAGATACCATTTATACAGATGCCCAGTGACTTCCAGAGACAAATTTTTGACAGTGTGCTGTAGGTGAAAGAAGTTCTGGAATGTGTTGCATGCCTCCCAAGGTTATTTTTACCACATGACAGTCTGTTATTTTACAGCAGTGAATGGAAAGTTGGCATTCGACATCTGGGTATTAACACGCAGCATTCATAATGCAGAGCAGCCCACCTAAAGTCTGCTGTTCCTTCACAGCATTTGAAAGACTCCCAAAATTAATTTGTTTTACTAGATTACATTATAGTTTGTGCTGGTGGCCTGTGTTTACTACAGCAGGGGAAGAGTTACCTTTGCTGTGAAGTTTTCATTGCTCAGAAGCTTTCATGTAGCATGCCAACATGAAATATTCTCTGACAACATATTTCCCTACTTGATGACATGAGATAGCAGGACGCTACTTGTTGTGCTCCTGTAGAAGAGAAACCCACTGAGAAACGTGATAAATCCTCAGTAAAGTGGCATATCCCATCAGTAATAAAAAATGCCTCTGTTTACATTGGTTGAGGAGGTGCCCATCAACTCCAAGGGGTGATAAATTATTGCTCTAGCAGAGCAGCCTTTTTGGACATGTGAACTAGGCAGACAGCTTAGAGCAGTGGATGCTGGATCCCCAAAAAGCACATGCAAGAGGCACCTGTGGCACCTTGGCACTGTGGATGTTCTTGGGGGTGAAGCAATGCAGGAAAGTGTCCAAGCTGTATGAGTGTTCTCTGTTCTTCACTCACGGTTGCTCAGCTGCCTCAGATTTGCAAAAACCCTTTGGTTTGTGGAGTGCTTCACACTCCTGCATCCTGGTGATAAGCCATGGATGTGTCACCTCTAGGAGAAAGCTTTTCTATGCTGGTCCAGCATGGACAAAGTATTCTGGTGTTAATGGTGGTAAGGGCAGGTCTGTGATTTGGACCATAAGTCATGAGGTCTTTCCTGGGACAAGCATGTGTCTTTGCTGATTGCTGTTGTCTTGCTGATGAGAACAGGTGGTAAATAATCCCTCCAACCCAGCAGCTTCCATCTCAGGGTTCAGTT